TGCATTCACCCTTCGGTGAATTCACCCCTAAGCCTCGCCCTTCATTGCTTCTGCTCAGCAGCACCGCAGCTCTGGTGCCAGAGTCCTTTCCCTGGACCTGGGATTCCACAGATACCACCCCCCCCCGGACACCCACCCATCTTGCTCTCATTGAGCCTTGTCCTTCTGCCCCGAAGGCCTCCCCCTCTTAAGCATGGCTTCCTCTGACCCAGCATCGAAAGTGACTTGAGCCAGTCTGTTCACCTCCAACGTTCTTTCGTCCCAAATTCCACCCCACTAGAAAATGTGCTTTCAGTAGGCGGGCATCTTATTCCATTCCCTTCCCTATAAATACGTGGCCAAGGGGGATCAGGAGAAAGAGAGGGGCAACTGAGAGGAAACAGAAAAACTGAGGAGGAGTAAAAAGGATGGGTGAGAACCGTGAACAGATGGCACCGCAGAGGATGGGTGGGGATTTCAGACAGACGCTGAGAGTGAAAGACAAAGCTGAGAAAGTGTGGGGTGGGGAGCAGCTGAGAAATAGAGAGAAAAGCTGCGTCTCCAGAGAGATGAAGGACAGCAAGATAGGGAGAGGGGTAGAAAGGGGGAGGCTCCTCAGGGAGTGGGGGAGAGAAGGGGGGATTTGGAGCTAGGGCAGAGAGGGCAGCGTGGTGCTGGGACAGCAAGAGGGGACAGCTGGTGACAAGGAGAGCAGAGGGAGAACCACAGCAGCACAAGGCCTGGGATCTGGGATGCCAGAGAGTGGGGATGGGGAGGTGTAGCCGGGAAGAGGGGATTTAACAGGGGGAGCAGATGGGGAGCAAAGTTGGGGAAGAAAGTGGCAGAAATATGTGGAGATTGGGATTGAGACAATGAAAAGATGGGGCAGAAAGAGGAATAAGAGGTGAAGGAAGCTGTAAGAACGGAGCAGAACAGGTGCAAGAGAAGGAATGGAGGGGAGAGGAGGAGAAAGAGCGGGAGAGGAGAGGGGAACACGAGGAGCAGAAGCCAGGGAAACAGAAGGAGCCATAGAGAGAAGGTGAGGACAAGATATGTCCAGAATGAGGGAGGGAGACACATGGGAAGGAGGAAAAAGAGGACCCTGGTTCCAGCGGGTGGTGAGTTGATTGGATATGCGTGATTTAGTTGTGACATGTTGATCTCTGTCTTTATAATCTAACATTTTAAGTATGTTTAAAATACACAGATAAATATGAGAACTGAAGAACTTTATCTGTAAGGCTGTGCATTTATAATTAACGGCATCAGAGGTTAGCTTCCACTTGTCGTCTCTTTTCAGCCAGAGGGCAGTGACTTGACTCATTCATTTGTGGGTCACCCCCTTCTTCCCTTTCCCCGGGATGGGGTTGGGTAGGGGTGAGAATATGAGTAAACACAATACTGATTATAGGCCGGGCGCGGTGCTCACGCCCTGTAACCCCAGCACTGTGGGAGGCTGGGCACGGGGCTCACGCCTGTAACCACAACACTGTGGGAGGCCGGGCGCGGGGCTCACGCCTGTAACCCCAACACTGGGAGGCCGGGCGCGGGCCTCACGCCTGTAACCCCAGCACTGCGGGAGGCCGGGCGCGGGGCTCACGCCTGTAACCCCAGCACTGGGAGGCCGGGCGTGGGGCTCACGCCTGTAACCCCAGCACTGCGGGAGGCCGGGCGCGGGGCTCACGCCTGTAACCCCAGCACTGCGGGAGGCCGGGCGCGGGGCTCACGCCTGTAATCCCAGCACTTTGGGAGGCCGGGTGCGGTGGCTCACGCCTGTAATCCCAGCACTTTGGGAGGCCGGGCGCGGTGGCTCACGCCTGTAATCCCAGCACTTTGGGAGGCCGGGCGCGGTGGCTCACGCCTGTAATCCCAGCACTTTGGGAGGCCAAGGCGGGTGGATCACGAGGTCTAAAGGTCGAGACCATCCTGGTCAACAAGGTGAAACCCCGTCTCTACTAAAAATACAAAAATTAGCTGGGCATGGTGGCGCGTGCCTGTAGTCCCAGCTACTCGGGAGGCTGAGGCGGGAGAATTGCTTGAACCCAGGAGGTGGAGTTTGCAGTGAGCCGAGATCGTGCCATTGCACTCTAGTCTGGGTAACAAGAGCAAAACTCCACCTCAAAAAAACAAAAACAAAAACATAATACTGATTATATACATTTAGTATTATATAATGCTGATTATTGTTAATATAGTCAGTATAATAGTCAATATAGGCCAGGTGCGGTGGCTCACGTCTGTCATCTCAGCATTTTGGGAGGCCAACGTGGGTGGATCACCTGAAGTCAGGAGTTCGAGACCAGCCTGATCAACATGGCGAAACCCTGTGTCTACTAAAAATACAAAAAAATTAGCTGGGCATGGTGGTGCGTGCCTGTAGTCCCAGCTACTCAGGAGACTGAGGCAAGAGAATCGCTTGAACCTGGGAGGTGGAGGTTGCAGGTAGCCAAGATCATGCCATTGCACTCCAGCCTGGGCAACAAGAGCTAAACTATCTAAAAAAAAAAAAAAAAAAAAAAGTCGGTATAATAGTGTACACTCAATATTTAAAAGTGAACACGCAGCACAGAAAACTGATCAGCAGAATGTGGAGGAACTTCTCCCACCAGCAGTGCATTTTCTGTCCGACACTGTCCAGCTCGAATTCAGATCAGATGCCACTGCTTGGTCAGTTCCACAGGGCTGCCCCCACTTTAAATGCCAGTCCCAAGTCGCAGGTTGTGACCTGAACTTGTGGGTGACCAACTGTAAATTGGGGATTCCCTTGACTTCCTCCTCAGGTTGTAGTCACCTGCCAGGGCCCTTCACCAAACTCAGGAAAACACTTAGTTTCCTCATTTGTTATAAAGGATATTGCAGAGGACACAGATGAACAGCCAGATGGAAAAGCTGTGCTAGCCAGTGATTCCAAGCCAAGGAGAGTGTTAGGGAAGCATATTGACGAGGCCAGTCAGAGCATGCAGCCTCTGAAGTGACGGCAGTCTGTGCGACTGAGCTCTCAAGCTGTGGTGTCTGATTCTGTCTTACAGACAGTGTCAGAACTGAGTGAAACTGCAGGTCGCCCTAGCTGGGAGGCTGCTGGAGAACCGGTCATTGTGGGGACAACAACACACATTCTGGTGACTAGACGTGAAATATTCTCTGTTGAGTGTGAGAATAGCATGAATGAGTTTCTTCCTCTCCGCAGATCTCCAACGCATAATAAAGACTTTTTTTCCTTCTACTCTTCCATCTTTAAACAAAAAATACTCTCAACTACATTTCCCTCTGTAATAAGTGCCTTTTAATGCTCCATTTAAGACCATAATGTACTAAAAACTAGTTTTTACTTTGTCTTAAAAACTCAACAATATAGAGAGACAGGATCTCACTGTGTTTCCCAGGCTGGTCTCGAACTCCTGGGCTTAAGCAGTCTTTCCACGTCAGCCTCCCAAAGTACTGGGATTACAAGCGTGAGCCCCCGTGTCCAGCCACTTTGTCTTCAGTTCTTGCTTAAACCTTTGAATTGTTGCTTGAATCTGGCTTTCATACCAGGATTCCACTGATTCTGCCTTTTTCCGTCATCAGTGACCTCCCTGTTTCAATGCCATGGTTCATGTCCTGTCCTCATCTTTCTCTTCCTGTCAGTAGCATGTCGCACAGCCGGTCACTTCCTATTCTGCTGTCTTGGCTTTTATGACACCCCATTAAGTTTTACAAGAAGATGGAATACCATCTAGTCAGTCTGCTCGCCTCTCGGTCACTTTCCGCTTTCCTCTTCTGGTGTCTCCAGGACTTTGTTCTCTGAATGTGCGAGTGTTCATGGCTCAGTCCTTACACCTCTTCTTGTCTCCATCCACACTCACCGCCTTTCCTTATTGTCTCATCTCGTGGCTTTCTGCCCCACCTATTAATACAAGGCTCCATGTCTCTGCAGACCCTCCCCTGAGGTCTAGAATCCTGTGTCCACTTGTCTCCAAAACTCTGCAGGGATATCCCAGCAGGCATCTTCATCTTCATATGTCTCAAAGTGACTTCCTGGCCAGGCACGGTGGCTCACGCCTGTAATCCTAGCAATTTGGGAGCACGAGGTGGGCGGATCACCTGAGGCCAGGAGTTCCAGATCAGCCTGGCCAACATGGTGAAACCTGGCCTCTACTAAAAATGCAAAAATTAGCCAGGTGTGGTGGTGCGCACCTGTAGTCCCAGCTACTCAGGAGGCTGAGGCAGGAGAATCGTTTGAACCCAGGAGGCTGAGGCTGCAGTGAGCCAAGATTGAGCCACTGCACTCCAGCCTGGGCAACAAGAGTGAAACTCCATCTCATGAATGAATGAATTAATTAATTAATTAATAAAATTAAGTGACTTCCCAAACTCCTCCAAACATGTTCACTGCTGTAGTCCTGCACATCTCAGCCGAGGGCAACCCTGTACTTCCTGGGGCTCAACTGAATTTCCTTTCATTTTTGTTTTTTGTTTTTTTTTGTTGTTGTTGTTTTGTTTTTGTTTTTTTGAGATGGAGTTTCGCTCTTGTTACCCAGGCTGGAGTGCAATGGCGCGATCTCAGCTCACCGCAACCTCCGCCTCCTGGGTTCAGGCAATTCTCCTGCCTCAGCCTCCTGAGTAGCTGGGATTACAGGCACGCGCCACCATGCCCAGCTAATTTTTTTGTGTTTTTAGTAGAGATGGGGTTTCACCATGTTGACCAGGATGGTCTTGATCTTTTGACCTCATGATCCGCCCTCCTCGACCTCCCAAAGTGCTGGGATTACAGGCGTGAGCCACCGCGCCCAGCCTCCTGTCATGTTTAAAATACCTAAGATAGTAAATTGTAAGTGTGTTACTTTGTAAAATGAAGAAAAAGTTATTCATTTACTTAAAACAGGTGAGGAAATACATGGCTTCATAAATTCTTTTGAGGTATGGGAGAAAAATGTTTGAAAACCTCTCCCTGCATGATCCACTCTCCCAGGACCTCTCTGACGTCATCTCCTGCCTGTGTCCTCCCCACTCCCTCTGCTCCTCACTCCAGCCAAACAGACCTCTTTCCTGTTCCTGGAGCCAAGGTTGCTCCTGCGTCAAAGCTTCCATGTGGGCTGGCCCACTGCCGAGGACTCTCTGGCCCCTCAGCTACAAGTGACAAGCAGCCTTTCTTCCCTAGGTCTTTGTTCTGACATCACTTTTCTCTATGGAAACCTTTGTGATGTCCCACAGCCCCCCATTTGACATTGCAGCCCCACCTTCCCCACCTCTGGTCCCTGTTGCCTGTTCTGTGTGATTCTTTTTGCTCCTTCAATATCCAGTCTGGATCCTGGAGAGAACAGGTTCCCAACGGGAGAGCAGAGCCAGAAGGTGGGCCGTGCTGGGCTTGCCCGCTCAGTGGAGCCCAACCCTGGCTTCATGTTAGAGCACCGAGGCATCTTGCAGAAACATCTCTTGTGCCCCGTTGATATATTTTCATTTAAGTGTTTTTTTTTTTAGAGTCTAGACTGAGTAATATTTAAAGGTGACTCTATTCTGTATCCAGCATAGTACCAAGCCCTGTCTTTCGTTTCTGAAGGCTGAGCTGAGCCTGTGAGCCACAGAGAGGTGAGGGGCTGTCCTGTGCATGGGGTTTGGTCAGGGCTGGGTCTGTGCCCTGAAGGGGAGCTCAGTTCGGCCCAGCTCCCCACTGCTGCCTGGTGTGTGAGGCTTCTCCAGGAGGACAGCAGGTTCTGAAGAAAGAGGCCTGGAACTCACTTGTTCTTCCTCTAGGAGTTTCTCGTCCCTGTATCCCCTCTGCTGCAGTGGGCCGCAGAGGACCATATTTCCACAGGGTGCAGTCCTCTGTGTGTGTGATTGTGGCACATGAAGGGGATGTACAGATGCTGAGCCCTAAACAGCATATTTTGGATATTCAGTGTTGACTTATAAAGACTCTCTTATATTACCCAAGGAAGAAGCCTGGCAGACGAGGAAGAGGAAGGAAAAGAAGTCAGGGATGGCTCTCACTCAGGTACAGTGATGTTCCTGGAGGATTGTTCTTTTATTTCTTCCTGAAATGCTGGGCCTTGGAGTTGCGAATCTCTGAGTCTGAAACGTCCTGCTGGACACGTCTGCTGGCACCCACCCACGCCTTCCCTCAGTCCCTCTCCTCTCACTTAGATTCCATCTCATCGGGACCCAGTGACATGAGCTTGGGAAGAGGCTGCACTGGGCATGGTCCTGGGAAGGGCTCATTCCAGTCATGGATGGAGATGGGGCATGAGTTCCATGGTGTCAGGGCTCTTAGGCTGCAGGGATTGTTCAGGGGCCACATCGGGATGCACTGTCAGCTCTGTGTAAGCCATGGTAACAGAAGCTGCCCATGAAGTCAGGTATTACCGTGCAGAAGTGCCTGCTCACTGGTATAGAGTGAGAACACTAAGGGAACGCTTTCCCGCCTCATATTTATATTGCATTTCAAGTTGAACAAGTGAGTCACTATGTTTCTGACTCCAAACTTAAAGACTGGGAACAGATGGAAAGTTTAGACACAGACATCAGGGGTAGGTGATTCTTCCATTTCATCATTTTAGTGTATGACGTCAACGTGAATGTATAGCAACACAAGATTCTTAAACTGGTCTCAGAAAATCTATCTCACGGAGACTGCGGCGTTCTTACAAGAACCTTTGTCCATTGGGCATTGTAGGTAGTTTTGTTCAGATATATGAGCAGAACAACCTTACCATTAGAGAGACTGGAACTGCCGGGTGCAGTGGCTCACGCCTGTAATCCCAGCACTTTGGGAGGCCGAGGCAGGTGGATCACGAGGTCAACAGATCGAGACCATCCTGGTCAACATGGTGAAACCCCATCTCTACTAAAAATACAAAAATTAGCTGGGCATGGTGGTGCGTGCCTGTAATCCCAGCTACTCGGGAGGCTGAGGCAGGAGAATTGCCTGAACCCAGGAGGTGGAGGTTGCTGTGAGCCGAGATCGTGCCATTGCACTCCAGCCTGGGTAACGAACGAAACTCCGTCTTGAAAAAAAAAAAGACTGGAACTGTATTTTTGTTTTACCAGTTATGATTCAACGTTCCATTTCTTTTCTTTTAAACGTGTATGTATTTGTTTGATAGTGAAACAATGCATTTATGTGCCAAGAGGCAAAGCATCCCCTTCCTGTCAGCCTTCCACCTTCCTTGGCATCTCAGCGGGGAGCCACTGTTCTCAGTTCTGTGGGAAGGGTCAGTGCGAGTCCTGCAGAAATGCATTTTTACGTCATTGTGAAATTTAAACAAATCCCTCAGTGAATGTTTTGTGATATTTTCGAACATTTACACGTTTTCATGTTAGGAAACGGAGCTCACTTTTCTGCATCGTTGTTGGAGCATCTGGGAATGAAGACAGGTGGACCCTTTACCTTTTTCACTTTATAAAGAATGCCACACAGGGTGCTGCATGCTGGCCCACACCCAGAATCCCAGCACTTGTGGAGGCCAAGGTGGTAGGATCATTTGAGCCCCAGAGGTTGAGGCTGCAGTGAGCCATGATAGCGCCACAGCTCTTCAGCCTGAGTAACAGAGCAAGACCTTGTTTCAGAAGCAGAAGGCCACACTGGCCGCCATGACCGTGCCAATTTCACTACACATATTGGAGGGTTCCTCCAGGTTGGGCGATTAAAGAGTGATCGCTTCTAGGATGGTGCATTTCCTATGCTGCTAGATCTGGCAAGATTCTATCCCTACCCCAGGCGCAGAGGCGCCCTCTCCCACCAGTACCGCATGAAGCTAACTTGCCACTGTGTTCATTCTACACTGTGAACATCTGGGGATAATGCAAGCCATCGTATTTTCATTTTCTGACTTCTCAGTCTGGGTGGGTTGCATTACTTTGTGAATGTGTGTATATGCAATGAATTTGTATACGTTGCTCTGTTTTCTGTTCCTGGAATTCAGCTTACAGGATAGTCATGACTCACTGTAGCCCTGACCTGCAGGGCTCAAGCAGTTGTCCCACCTCAGTCTCCTGAGTAGCTGGGACTACAGTTGTGTGCTGCCACACCCAGCTAATTTTTTATGTTTTTGTGTTTTGTAGAGACAGGATCTCACTATGTTGCCCAGGCTGGTCTCAGTCTCCTGGGCTCAGGCAGTCCTCCTGGTTGTGCCTCCTAAAGTGCTGGGATTACGGGCATGAGCCATCGTGCCTGGCTTGGTTTAATTCTTTACATATGTACTGTTTTCTTACCTTTGATTATCCATTATTCCACTGTAAAAGGAATCCATCTTTGCTCACCCCTTTCTCGTGTACTTGTTCAGTTTCTCTTGCTTTGGAAGGCCTCACAAAGGGAAATGTTTATCACATGCCCTTTGTCTTTGACCCAGTTCCTGGCATATAAAACTTCTAAAATCTGTAGTTTCCAAAGTGTTGTCTTTTTGTATGCTGACGTATTGACTGGTAGCTGGCAACCTCTCACAAGCTTCAGGATGGGGCTGTGTCACCAGAGCATCCAAGGCAAGACTGGAAGATTGGACTTCACACTCTACTCCTCAGCTACCAGGGAGCGGGGAGGCGATGAGGGTTTAGTTGATCACCAGCGGCCAGTGGTTTAGTCATGCCTACTTCATGAAGTTTCTATGAAGACCCAAAAGCACACGGTTCAGAGAGCTTCAAGTAGGTGAACCAGGGAGGGCACGGAAGTTCAGCCCCTTTTCCCAGTCCTTGCTCTGCATTTCTTCATGTATATTAGTTGTAAATGTACATAAAGTGTGTCCCTGAGGTCTGTAACCCAATGAAGGAGTTACAGGAACTCTGATCAATAGTCAGAAGCACAGGAAAAACAACCTGGGGCTTGCTATTGGCAGCTGAAGTAGGACTGAACCCTCAACCTGTGGGATTTGATGCTGTCTTCAGGTAGCTGGTGTTGAAATGGAACCGGGGTTGGAGGACACCAGGCAGTGTCTGCTGCACAAGTAATTGCTTGCTGGTATGGGGGGAATTTACATCTGTTTATTTATTTATTGTTTGAGACAAGGTCTCACTCTGTCATCCAGGCTGGAGTCCAGTGGTGTGATCACAGTTCACTGCAGCCTGGATCTCTGGGCTCAAGTGACCCTCACACCTTAGCCTCTGGAGTAATTGAGGTGACAGGCACGTGCCACTACACCCAGCTTGATTTTTTTTTATAGAGATGAGGTTTCATTGTATTGCCCAGGCTGGTCTCCTGAGCTCAAGCAATCCCTCCAGCCTTGGCCTCCTTAAGTGCTGGGATTGCAGGCGTGAGCCACTGTGCCTGGCCACATCTGATTTTAGAAGCAGTTCTGATAGTATAGTAGGAGAAACAATTTGACTTTTCCACAGAATGTGTCTTATGAATTCGAATCATGTGTGCACATTGGTATTTAGTTGATTCATTTGATACTGTTTATTTTAGATTTAGGGTATGCATGCGGCTTCTTACGTGAGTTTATTTTGTGATGTTGAGGTTCAGTCTTCCAAAGACCCCACCACCCGAGTAGTGAACATAGTACCCGACAGACAGTTTCTCAGCCCTTCCCCTCTTCCTTCCTGTCCCTTCATGGCGTCTCCAGTGTCTGCTGTTCTCATGTCTGTGTTCGTGTGCACCCAGCGTTTAGCTTCCATTGTGAGAACATGTGGTACTTGTTTTTCTGTTTGTGCATTAACTCGCTAGGGACAGTGGCCTCCAGCTGCATCCATGTTGTTGTAAAAGACGTGATTTTGTTTTCATGGCTGTATAGTATTCCACAGGGTATATGTCTACTCTATTTTCTTTTTTTTTGAGACGGAGTTTCGCTCTTGTTACCCAGGCTGGAGTGCAATGGCGCGATCTCGGCTCACCACAACCTCCGCCTCCCGGGTTCAGGCAATTCTCCTGCCTCAGCCTCCTGAGTAGCTGGGATTACAGGCACGCGCCACCATGCCCAGCTAATTTTTTTGTATTTTTAGTAGAGACGGGGTTTCACCATGTTGACCGGGATGGTCTGGATCTCTTGACCTCGTGATCCACCCGCCTCGGCCTCCCAAAGTGCTGGGATTACAGGCTTGAGCCACCACACTCGGCCCTACTCTATTTTCTTTATCCGATCCACTGTTGATGGGCCCCTAGGTTGATCCCATATCTTTGCTATTGTGAATCGTGCTGCAATAAACATGAATACAGGTGTCTTTGATAGAACAGTTTATTTTCCTCTGGGTACATATCCAGTAACGGGATTGTTGGGTTGAGTTGTAAATTCAAGCGGCCCTCCTCCCTCAGCATCCCGAGGTATTA